GTTAAGAAACGTGATAATGTTACAAATATCTTTAAAATTTCTTCTTCAGCCATATTTCAGTCTGTTTTCTCATGTGAGAGCTTAGAGCGATGCGCGCTCCCGCGACAGGGGATGCAACTTTGGACAGTCGTGCGTTTCTGGGCAGAACACCGGACCGGTTCTCCCGAGCTCATGACAGGTTCAGATCGGTTTTCTCTACTACACCTGTGACGTCACGACCCAACCAGCAGAGTGAATATATTAATAAAAACTGCTCAGCCTCTTCACCATAGAATCRTTTTCTTTCCACTGTGATGAAAATAAAAATACTTAAAATTAATAAGAATGAAAATCATAAACTTGAGTTACTTTTTTCTTCTAAAAAAATCATAATTCTAATCAAGATACAGTATTATGATCTAGATTTGAGTTTGAGCTGATTTTGAGGGTAGCTACTGGTTCTGATGTGTGTCCCATCAGTGATGATGGTTTAAAAGCRCTATTTGTTTCCATAGATTGATCTATACATTAGATTTGTAGAGAGAGTGCTGTTTAAATGAGGAAATGCTGGTACAGATTGTAGTACAAAGCACCTGAGTATCCTGCTGTATAAATACAGTTCATTTATCATACAGGGTACATACCTGATACTCACGTAATACACACCTGGTTCTTATAGAGTAGATAATGGGTATGTACATAGTATTATAAATGTACATACCTAGTACTTACTGATACTTACCCAACATATACCTGATATTTTCAGGGTACGTACCTAATACATACATGGTACTTACAAAGTACTTACCAGATTCTTGTTAATTACAGGGAATTTACCTGTACTCTCTACCTATATCTGATAGGTACTTGTTCCTTACAGTGTATTTAAACATGTTTATAGTACAGTAAAATCTCTAAAACAGAGTTTTATTAATAAAGTTAGTTACATTTTTCATAATTTGTTGTCAGGCTGTTGTCAGATCCCAGAAATAACAAGTAATTTTTCCTATTGTATCAAATCTGTCAAATTTAAATGAAACTTACTAGTTTATTAGTTAAGTTAAACTTCACAGGTAAAAAAGAGACTATTGTCTAATTAAAACGAGTAATAAAAATTGCTTTAATTGGAGATACCGTGGAACAGAAATTAATGAAGAAATATGACTTTAACTTATTCGCTTTATATGGCCATTTTTCTGGTCAAATAAAAAGTCAATGATGAGCAGTGGCTGCAGTTCAGTGTCTGAACGGCAGGCGTCGCTGCTAAAGCGACACATGCAGCAACACTACAAGAAATAATGGCGTAGAAGAAGAGATGCTGAAAGACGTCTCCTACTCCACGTGAAATACTAATGTTTCTACGATTTTGTTTGACTTTTTGAGTGAGTTTTTACTAATGCGACCTAAAATATCACTTAGGTCGAGCCTTATCTGATACGTACCTGCTAAAAATATCATTTTTGTCGGACAAAATCTGGGAAAAATGTGGAGACAGCAGCAGGACGAACAGCAGCTTTTTGCTTCAAAACATCCTGTTTACAAAACCAAATATCGATTGAACATACCAGGTTTGTGTTTTTACTCTATTTGCATTAAGGGTCACGATTTTACTTAGTTTAATATTTAATAATTAGTGTTTTATTTTTGTTCGCTACTTAATGTATTAAAAGTCCAACAGCGCCSCCTGCTGATGAAAACGTTTTAGAAAAATATAGAAAAAATGACCTCCCTTTATATTACGTCTATATCTACACCTTTTTAAAGTGTTGTTGTTTGTAAGGAAGTGATGAGGTTGCACAACTGTAAAAAAGACAATGTTATTTTATTATTTTATCAGTTGTGTCAAGAACATGTGATTCGGATTTCCCTGCAGATGTTTTGCATTCTGAGGTGATGAAAGAAGAAGCTTCTGAAGAATGGGGGCCAGATGTTAACCAGGAGGACCCMGGGCCCCTCCTTGTGGTGGTTAAAGAGGACGTTGACGGTACCTTTGTGGAGGGAAAACACCTCAGTGAGGCTAACACCACCAAGTTTACATYGACTGCAGGTCATTTGAAGAGTGAGGATGATGATGATCTAACAAGCATCTCAGCTGATCAGATAAAAGAAGAAACTGATGAAGAGGACTATGAAGAAGTAGAAATTACCTGGAACCCAGATCTGAATGCTCAGAATAAAGTCGGTGTGGATGATGAAGATGACGAGAACAATCCTGACTCTCAGCTGAGCCCCTCATCAGACTCCGAGGCAACAACTCAAAACATCAACAAAGATCTGAGCTCTTTAACTAATAAGAAAGATTTTAAAGTGAAGTTAAACCAAACAACACAGAAATCATTCACCTGTGATGATTGTGGTAAAATATTTGCCAGAAAGACAAACCTAAACACCCACCTGAGAGTCCACACAGGAGAAAAACCGTTTGTTTGTGACGTTTGCAGGCAAAGATTTAGCCGCAAGACAACGTTAGTCACACACATGAGAATCCACACGGAGCAGAAGCCGTTCGGTTGCGATGAATGCGGGCAAAGATTTAGACAAAAGCCGCATTTAGTCTCGCACACGAGGATCCACACAGAGCCAGACTCGTTCAGTTGCGACGTATGCGGACAAATGTTTAGCTTCAAGAGCAACTTGAACAGACACATGAGAGTCCACACAGAGCAGAAGCCTTTTGGGTGTGACGTTTGTGGACAGAGTTTTAGCCAAAAGGCATATTTAATCACACACGAAAGAATTCACACTGGAGTGAAACCTTTTGGTTGTGATGTTTGTGGACGAACGTTTAGTTTTAAGAGCAATTTAAACAGACACACGCGAGTCCACACGGGAGACAAACCRTTTGCTTGTCACGCCTGTGGACGAAGGTTTAGCTTAAAGGCACATCTGGTCGCACACATGAAAATACACACGAGAGGAAAGGCAGTGTAACTGTGAAAATTAAAGCAGCTTCTAAAGACGGACATCAGGATTCACAGAATTAAACATATTTATGTCCATAGTTCTGCATTTTTGTTATGATATTTTTTCTTTTTTAGATATTTCATTTACAACTCAAGTTCCCAAAATGTTGCTAGATTGTAATGCAAAAACAGAGCAGTCAGTGAATATATTATAAAATATTGTCTTACATTTTCCTTTTACAATTTACAATATGACCACCAAATCATGCTATTAAACAAGGCCAGGAACAAGGAAAAATACGTTCCACTGTACGTATGTATGTATGTA